AACTGTAGACCTAATACAGACAACAAACAACTGTACAACTTAATACAGCCAACAAACAACTGTACAACTTAATACAGACAACAAACAACTGTACAACTTAATACAGACAACAAACAACTGTACAACTTAATACAGCCAACAAACAACTGTACAACTTAATACAGACAACAAACAACTGTACAACTTAATACAGACAACAAACAACTGTACAACTTAATACAGCCAACAAACAACTGTACAACTTAATACAGACAACAAACAACTGTACAACTTAATACAGACAACAAACAACTGTAGACCTAATACAGACAACAAACAACTGTACAACATGATACAGACAACAAACAACTGTACAACATAATACAGACAACAAACAACTGTACAACATAATACAGACAACAAACAACTGTACAACATGATACAGACAACAAACAACTGTACAACATAATACAGAAGTGAAGTGAAGGTTTGTTTTACGTTCATCTAGAAGCACCTTGATAATATCTGTAACATCACACGAACTTAGGTTAAACCATTTTATTAGCTAATATTTATATTATTTTACCGTAGCTAAAATACTAAAAGTATTATTTGATTGTTTTGTAAAATAAATAAATTCATTTACATATTTCACAGAAACTGGAACTTTACAATTCAATAAAGGGGGAAAAACAGAAACAACAATAACGTAGAAATACAAACAACGTTTATGTAACTTTATCACAGACACAACAATAACGTAGAAATACAAACAACATTTATGTAACTTTATCACAGACACAACAGTAACGTAGAAATACAAACAACATTTATGTAACTTTATCACAGACACAACAATAACGTAGAAATACAAACAACATTTATGTAACTTTATCACAGACACAACAATAACGTAGAAATACAAACAACATTTATGTAACTTTATCATGCTCGAAGATCCTCAAGAAGTGAACAGAGGCATCAGCATCACGATTAATTAAACAGAACTAGCAGCAGAATTATACTTAATTAAACAGAACTAGCAGCAGAATTATACTTAAGGTTCTGTCAATGTTCTACTTACTAATTATACATTTTGTTTTTGTTCATGTTCTACTTACTAATTATACACTTTGTTTTGGTTGATGTTATACTTACTAATTATACACTTTGTTTATGTCGATGTTGTACTTACTAATTATACGTATTGCTTTACTTGTTGGATCTACTAGAGCCTTGATTTAAATCTATTATAACTTAAATATGTTACATGTCAGAATAGCTATGAATATCAATAGTGTATATTCTTAACTATATTGACAATTTGAAATGTTTTACGCTTTCGTAAATGCTTCTTAACTAAAAATGATTTGTAAATTATTTATTTAAAAAAAGGAGTTGAAGATTACAAAGAAAAATTTTAAAAACTAACTTTTGTAATCCACTTTGAGAAAAGCCGTCATTTCTACCTCAAACATTTTATTTGGGTCTGGGGGAAGTTCGTCTGGAATCTCTCTTTTCCTTCTTCCATAACCGTATTGATCCTGTCCACAAATAACCTGAGCGAATAGATGAATCTTATAATACCAGTTATGTTCTAGATTCTTAAACAGTAAGTATATCCAACAATTCTCTATAAATCACAAGCAGCAAGCGAAAGGAAACGACGTACCAGCAAGGTTTCGTATTACCAAGAGTTGAGCTTTTCAATAAAGTACAGTAGAAATTATCTTTCAAAATTTATCATTACTGTTGATCGCAAGAATAAGAGTTGAGGAGATAAAAAAAAAAGTCGGTTTTCCATAACGTTGATTCTGTGTAGGAAATATATGCAGATCAATAGATAAAGTTCCTCACGTTCAAATAAAAATACCTCTAGGATGTTTGAGAAAAAACGCGATTCTATATGTGGAAGAAATGTTTATAATTTTGAACCTTTGATAAAATCAGTTTACTCGCTGACTACTACAGTGGGTTACAGCCTGTTGTCTTCTTCAAATACTGACTTCTGTTCCTATACGAGTGACACGAGTACACACGTATTTTAGTGTGACTGACACGTAGTCACTTGTGAGAAGTACAGGGTTTACGTAGAGCGCAATCTTGCGTGCAGAAATAAATATAACAACGCAACCAAGAACGGTATCCAAGTAAGTACGTTTCTCATTTACTAAATGATGATTGACATACGTGACGTAATTGTGGTTTAAATAGTGTACTTATGAATACCACGAGGTATATGTATAAACCAATTATTTGTTAGTTATATCGTGGTACAAGATTTAAGAAACAAATTTATTTTCATGGTATTTATAAAGTAAATTCTCACTTGTTAATGCGTACGAGTAGATGTCTTATTATAACAGAACTAAAGAATCAGTCCACAAGAAGATATATTACTTACAAGTTTACCTCGAAAACAAAAAAACTTCGATTTTTGTCATGTACCTGCGATGTTTCAAAAGTTCAAAAAATATTATTTTTTTTCATATCTTGAGTACGTAAACATTCCTATCTCTTAGAAAATATCATCGTGTTCAGAAACAAAGATATTCGTACCCTTTGACACGTCTTGAGACAAACGTTCACAGTTCCTACAAACAGGACGTAGTTGGAGAATGGAAATTTGAAGGCCCTGAACTTGGCAGACAGCGTGTTCCCACCGTCGGGGGAGTAGAAGTTACCGAATATGTACGAATCAATGGAACAGCTGGCGAATAAAAATATTAAATTCTTTATAAAAAGCAGCCCCACCTCTGCTGTTGGTAGAATGTAATGTCTAAAGTTTTTATTTTATGTATATAACAACTTATCAGTAACACAAAATCTGTCACTGTAATACTTGATTTAAGAATGATAACAACACAAAATCTATCACTGTAATACTTGATTTAAGAATGATAACAACACAAAATCTATCACTGTAATACTTGATTTAAGAATGATAACAACACAAAATCCACCACTGTAATACTTGATTTAAGAATGATAACAACACAAAATCTATCACTGTAATACTTGATTTAAGAATGATAACAACACAAAATCTATCACTGTAATACTTGATTTAAGAATGATAACAACACAAAATCTATCACTGTAGTACCTGATTTAAGAATGATAACAACACAAAATCTATCACTGTAATACTTGATTTAAGAATGATAACAACACAAAATCTATCACTGTAATACTTGATTTAAGAATGATAACAACATAAAATCTATCACTGTAATACTTGATTTAAGAATGATAACAACATAAAATCTATCACTGTAATACTTGATTTAAGAATGATAACAACACCAAATCCACCACTGTAATACTTGATTTAAGAATGATAACAACACAGAATCCACCATTGTAATACTTGATTTAAGAATGATAACAACACAAAATCTATCACTGTAATACTTGATTTAAGAATGATAACAACACAAAATCTATCACTGTAATACTTGATTTAAGAATGATAACAACACAAAATCTATCACTGTAATACTTGATTTAAGAATGATAACAACACAAAATCCACCACTGTAATACTTGATTTAAGAATGATAACAACACAGAATCCACCATTGTAATACTTGATTTAAGAATGATAACAACATAAAATCTATCACTGTAATACTTGATTTAAGAATGATAACAACATAAAATCTATCACTGTAATACTTGATTTAAGAATGATAACAACACCAAATCCACCACTGTAATACTTGATTTAAGAATGATAACAATACAGAATCCACCATTGTAATACTTGATTTAAGAATGATAACAACACAAAATCCACCACTGTAATACTTGATTTAAGAATGATAACAACACAAAATCCACCACTGTAATACTTGATTTAAGAATGATAACAACACAGAATCCACCTCTCTGATCCTTACACAAGTATAGATCAGTGGTTCAGAAAACATATATTCTCTTAGAACTATAAAAATTGGACAAAACGAAAATTTAATATAGCGATAACCCACACATTAAAGACGACAAATTACCTACAACAAAAATATTTATGCTGAGTTTAAGCTTAGTTCAAAATCAAATTAAATCATCTTGCTCTTTCTAGAGGTGATTCTTTAAAGATTATTAAGAACGTAATAATAAGCGACTCACCCATTCATAATGATGACTTCCTCCTGCTCATGTGGAGTATCAGTAACTTTCAAATAACTTGTAAGAAGTCCGTATGTGCCTGGAAAGATTAAGAAACAGGTGTTGTTAAGATAATAGACTGTACACCTGTCTGTTGTCTGTAATATACTGTAGATTTGTCTGTTGTCTGTAATAGAATGTACATCTGTCTGTTGTCTGTAATTTGCTGTGGATCTGTCTATTGTCTGTAATAGAATGTACATCTGTCTGTTGTCTGTAATACACTGTAGATCTGTCTGTTGTCTGTAATAGAATGTACATCTGTCTGTTGTCTGTAATAGACTGTACATCTGTTTGTTTCCTGTAATATACTGTAGATCTGTCTGTTGTCTGTAATATACTGTAGATCTGTCTGTTGTCTGTAATATACTGTACATCTGTTTCTTGGCTGTAATATACTGTACATCTGTCTGTTGTCTATAATAGACTGTACATCTGTTTGTTGTCTGTAATAGACTGTTCATCTGTTTGTTGTCTGTTTAAAGAAATACACAGATTACTGAGTTTAAATATGAATAAAGAATGGCATATATATTGTTACAAAATGAAACGAATAACTGTCTTCTAGCATCTGGGAATAGAAACAGGAACCACAGCTGTATCCCAATAGAAACATGAAACCACAGCTGTATCCCAATAGAAACATGAAACCACAGCTGTATCCCAATAGAAACAAGAACCACAGTTATATCCCAATAGAAACAGGAACCACAATTGTATCCCAATAGAAACAGGAACCACAGTTGTATCCCAATAGAAACATGAAACCACAGCTGTATCCCAATAGAAACATGAAACCACAGCTGTTTAATTAAGTATAATTCTGCTGCTAGTTCTGTTTAATTAAGTATAATTCTGCTGCTAGTTCTGTTTAATTAAGAATTATCCTGCTGCTACTTCTGTTTACCTTACTAATTATATACTTTGGTTTTGTCAATGTTCTACTTACTAATTACACGTCTTGGTTTTGTTCATGTTCTACTTACTAATTATATACTTTGGTTTTTTCCATGTTCTACTTACTAAGTATGCGTTTTTGTCAGTGTTCTACTTACTAATTATATACTTTTTATACGTTTTGGTTTTGTCCATGTTCTACTTACTAATTATATACTTTGGTTTTGTCAATGTTCTACTTACTAATTATATACTTTGTTTTGTTAATGTTCTACTTACTAATTATATACTTTGTTTTGTCCATGTTCTACTTACTAATTATACACTTTGGTTTTGTCAATGTTCTACTTACTAATTATATACTTTGTTTTGTCAATGTTCTGTAATTAGTAAGTAGAACATGGACAAAACAAAGTATATAATTAGTAAGTAGAACATGGACAAAACAAAGTATATAATTAGTAAGTAGAACATTAACAAAACCAAGTATATAATTAGTAAGTAGAACATGGACAAAACAAAGTATAGAATTGGTAAGTAGAACATTAACAAAACAAAGTATATAATTGGTAAGTAGAACATTAACAAAACAAAGTATATAATTAGTAAGTAGAACATTGACAAAACAAAGTATATAATTAGTAAGTAGAACATTAACAAAACAAAGTATATAATTAGTAAGTAGAATATTGACAAAACAAGGTATATAATTAGTAAGTAGAACATGGACAAAACAAAGTATATAATTAGTAAGTAGAACATTAACAAAACAAAGTATATAATTAGTAAGTAGAACATTAACAAAACAAAGTATATAATTAGTAAGTAGAACATTAACAAAACAA